CTATAAGTCAATCAATATAGTAAAAATGTCTTGTTCTTAATAGAGAGCTTGGTAGCGGAGGATGACAATCATTGATTTGGATCGAACTTCCACAATTATATCGTTTGTATCATTTCTACCTTTTTATTCATTTTTATTTGCTTACAATTATAGCTCAATTGATGAACGTGTTTATGATTTACTTGATTTCATCTAATTATTCTTAACTTGCTTGATATAAAATTATTGTTTGTAAAAGTTTCAAAAACCAATTCACCCCTTATTAGTTAGTAATTATTGAGCTATTAGGAATGGGAGTAGGGTAATTGAAGTGAGATCTTTTCTTAGGGTAATTTATGCATTGGTTTACTTATGTTGATCATTTATTTGATTAATTTGGTGTTAATTTTTGTTCTCCTGTGTGTTTCAATGTTGAAAAAATCTATGTACATTACCTTATGATGTGCTTTCATTGCATGTGCATCATCACCTATTATTGTGTGTTATTATGTGCTCTTGAATGACTCTTGAATGAATGTAATGTGTTTACATTGTCTTTAGCATAACATTTATTGCTTTGTCTAAAGTTGTATTACTTGCTAGTTAGGTATAAAATGCGTAATTTGGCTCACTATGTATTTTTTATTGTACAGTGGTTTGACCTTAGCCCTTGGTGAGTACACTAAGTAGGTATGGTATATGTTTCGGATTCGAGACATTGGTAAGATATGTAATTTTCAATTTATTTTGGATATCTTGATTAGATAAGTATTAACTTGGTGATTTTTAGCTTGCAGGTTTAGGTATCAAGGTGGAGATTTGTTGGACTTTTTGTTGATACCTAATAAATCTCGGGGTTATGATGTTTATCGTTTAAGTTAGTTTCATAGACTTGTAGTCGAGCATTAAATTACATTACTAGATGAGATACAAACCAAAAGCTCTACCCAAGACTTAATGGACCATTTGAAGCAATAAGTCATTGAATTAGTTGGTCGTGGTCCATTATAAGTGTAGGCCCATTTGCACCCTCTTTCGTCCATTGGCTTGTGCTCGAGCTTGGCTGCTTCTATATTGTTGCTTTGTCAATAGTTGATGTGGGGTACAGAGAAAATATTACGTAGCCATTTTTCTCCTTCTATTGTGAGCAGCCTATGTGGTTTAAGAGAGAAGAAACGTCGGGCAGCTGTGTGGGTTTTCTTCCTCCATCTTTCCTTTGTGGGATTCTTGGGCAGTCTTCTGGTATTGTTGTTTGGGTTGAGCTTTGGTGGAGCTGGAGTAACCTTCTGATGTACGAGTCGATTTAAATTGAGCCATAATCTTTGTGGTCGACAAATGTATCAATTTTGCACACAGTGAAGCTCCTTGGTTGTGTAATTAATTCGACATCATAAAATGTATTGAAGATGCTTTTAATATTTGATCATCAAAGTTTTTGAACTTACGTACCTAAATTATAATTCATAAATTGTATTGAAAATGCTCTTAATACTTGATCATCAAACAAAATATTGTCTATATGATGGACACAAATTATTAGCATTCGATTGGAAGATTTCATAGTCGAGTAGTGATTGTAACATGATGTTTCAACATTCAATTGGGGCGGCTTTTGAAGTACAAATTGACGGCGTTTAAAATGACAACTATTGACTTCTAATCAGGCTGCCTATGAACGAATTAAATTATTTGGAAAAATACAAAAACACATCATTTTCATGTTTTAGTCAACAAAATTCATCTAGATTGAGAATAATCAATGGTAATTTCAATATAAATAATTAATACAAGTTGATATATTTATAATTTAATCAATTGTCAACTATCTCGTGTAGAGTGAGAACAATTAATGGGTGATTATACTAATGTCTAGAGACTTTGTGTGGGTAAAAATCATATCTTTTGGTACGGAGTACATTCACACCATATATTTTGTTAACTACACCACAATTTAATCGCAATGAAGACTCTCAATATTCCCCCATTTATTTTCTAACCTTCAAATTTCTACTAATTTACATCCTCTTGTCTCGAATGATTGTTTTTATTCAAAGACTTGTCTCTTGTATTTTAAATGTTTAAAAAAATTGATATAGTTTTACAAAATATGTGATAAAAAAATATGAACTTGAGAAAAATATATTTTCAAAAATGAAGGTTAAACAATGGCGTCTTCTAATAATATAATTTGTCCTTGGAAGCCACTTGAACAATTTCACTAAAATATAAGTATTAACAGTTGACCGACCAGTTTAAATTATTTTCGATATCCTACCATGAATAATAACATTAAAAAAAGTGGCCTCGATGAATTTTGAATTTAGAAATTTATTATATGCTCGCTGTTATTCTTGTTTAGTATAATTAAGAACAAAATGATCTTTAATGACGACAGATAGAGTAATTACTTGACTATTTTCTGTTAAAAGAAACAAAATTTGCAGGAATGAAGATTAAAGTATTAAGTACTTGGGATAATATGTTTTCTTAATCGATAAATCAATTTCTTAGATGTTATAAAAATAGCATACACGAGTCATAGATGTTTTTCTGTTGGTGAATTATTTATCGTACAATTGAACGTTTTTCAACTGTATATTTTTATCATTATAAATTATCCTTAACCTTTCGTGTACATAATTTCAAGTAAATTATAATATGGCTATGTCGATCTTGATTGTCTAGCATGACAATCCACGAACCAATTTGAAAGAGCCAATATAATAATATAACCTAATTAGAGTATTTTTGAACGAGGATGCTTTTATAATCAATAAGAGTATGCTTTCAATTATGGTTTACTTTTAAATCCTATGAAATTACCAAAATGCAAGAAAAATTAAATAAAATAAGATGGTCAGGACTGTACGACCCAATTCTGTAATATTTATGAGTCATCCTCTAGTTTGGAAGATGGTCAGGACCAGGACCAAATCATAGTCTTGTGGGTTGGTTTATGCTCGTAATGAGTGTGAACTTGGTCTAAATACTAGCAGATTAATTTGGATCGATCCACTCGTTTTGACTTCCCTAATTACTTAAATTAGTAATAAAATGTACGAGGTATTCAAGTTTCTTTGAAGGGTTAAGGTGAAATTATATACATGTATGTGTTACATAAGGTCACGCATATTTAAAGGGAAAAAAAAAAATACGATACAGTTTAGGAAATTTAGGAGAAGATCCTATTGTTATTTAACTCTCCATCGCAAAATTCCTTTTAAAAAGGGCCTTCTCTATACATTAGAATACGAGATCGATCCTACTTAAGTTTGTATTTAACAACTCCTAAATATATATTATAGGATAATTAAACATAAAATCATCGCTAAATAGTACAAAACCCCCTACCTATTGGATAAACGGTCGAAAATCCCCTACCTTTTAAAAATAATGCAAAACATTCATGTTTGAAACATTCAATGTAGCCATTTACAGTCCATTTTTCTCAATAAAAATTTATGAAATGATAAATATAACCTTTCAATTACATAAAATAAAAAGGAAAGAAGAGATAAAAAAAAAACTAATTACAATCGTAGTCCCAAAATGTCTTTAAAAAGTACGAAGTAGATCATATTGCTTATTTAACTCAAATTTCTTTTAAAAAGGCCCTACTTATTACATTAGAATACGAGATCAGTCCTACTTAGATTTGTACTTAACAACATAAAATTCTAAGAAAATAAGAAAAAATTAATTATATATGTTGATTCTCCTTTGCGAAATTATATTTATTTTATTAACTTTCCTTACATTGATTATATGTATCCAAGAGAACGTTAGGATTAGTTATAAAAATTTCATATTTAAATAATATAAACAATTATGTTGTTGAAGAAAAATGGGAGAACATCAAGATTGGTGCAGTTTACATCTTCAAAATTAAAATTATTAATACAAATTAGATCGCTATTAAATTTCTTAAACAAAAAAAAAAAAAAATTAATAATAATAACTATCTAAAATTATCGTGAATATATATTTAATTACACGGAGGTGTCAAAACGAGCCGCCTGAACTTACTTTTCAGTAGTAGCCCAATTCTGGAACAGAAGCAACCAACCAACCGAACCCAAAATTGGTTAATTAAACCCTTATTTGATAAAGATTAAAATATAAGTCAAAATCAACAATTAATTTTAATTGTATATTTATGGGTTCGTTAATTTTTTAACGTCAACTTTTATCGAAATTTATTAAAAATTCAATTATATTCCACACCAGATGAATATAAATATGCCTTGAAACTGCAACCCGAGTTAATAATATAGGCATTAATTGCATGCCCGGATTAATCAAGGCATTAAAAATTTATTTAAAACTAATAAAAAAAATAAAATCAAGAAAATAACCGATTTGTCCTCATCCGAGCTGGTTGGTCCTGGCTGGTGCCAATTCGAGCAAACCCGTCTCATTTTCACACGTTTAAATTACGAATTACATCTATGGTATGAAATAAGAATATACCAACAAATTTATCTAAACAAAACTTCGCTCATGTTTGGTTGAAATTAAAATTAAATTTTTAGTATATTTTAATAAAAATTGGTGAAATATGTGATTGAAAAATTGTGAAACTCATAAAATATGTATTTAAAATAAATTATTGATTTAATTTAGATTTTAGTTCGTAGCAAATAGGAATCTCAGGTTGCAGGATTCCAAAATATAATCAACTACAACTAACCAAACCACTTTATCGAACAATTACAAAGCCGAGTCCTCTCTTTTGCTGTCGTTTCACTCAACCCCTCAAAGAAAAGTAAAACCTCACACTTTTTCTCCTTACACCGACCAAACACAGACTCCCAAACATAATTTTTGATTTGATAGATGCTATAGTTTCTTTATTAATATGTGATCCTCCAAAAAAACCTCATCTTATTTCTTTCAATATTGGGTATCTGTTTGTGAATTTGTGCAGTTACTTCAGCTGAGCTGATAGCAGTATCTTAAGAAATATTGCTATTCTTTTGGTGGGTTTATTTTGTACTTGAATCTTTTGGAAGGAAAAAAAAATGCTGGGGTGGTGTGAGTGTTACGGCTCATGCGATGATGACAGTTTGTATGAGGATTTTCCGGTGGAAAAAAAGCCTTTTTCTCTTCCTTCACCCCTTCCTCAGTGGCCACAAGGTATGTTCTTGACAATATTTTGTTAAAAGATTCAATTTTACTTTTCAGAATTCATTTCTTGGTTCGTGTTAGAATTGGGATTTCTTGTCCTTGCACTGAAAAAAATAAAATAAAAAATTCTGTTTTTCTCCCTTTTATTATAGCTCTTTTCGTTTTTGCCTATTATTTTGAATAAAATATGTAAATTACTAATCTTGAATTAATTAAAAACATATTTGAGAGGAAAAATATAAAAATAAAACTTGCCCTTTCGTCGTTTTAGCTCGGGTCGGGTCGGGTCGGGACGAGTCGGGGTAGGTGGGCATGTATTAATTTAATAATTGTATGGGTGTAGTGAATAATTGTATTCTTACAAGAAGTATTACTCCTTTAACCTTAATCGCCTTTGATTAAATAGTGCTATTGCATTTTTCAACCAAGAAAAATAAGGATTTCTTTGTTGACTGATGAATATATTTACTGTTTCTGGATTTCAAGAAATTGGTATTTGTTTGGTGATTCCTTATGGGGACTTAGTCAATTTGTTTGAAAAAAAATGTGATTGAGAGTTCATGGGATTTCTTTGTTGAAGGCAAGTATGAACCAGGTCAAAGATTTTGAGATGATAATGGGAATGCAATGGCTCGGAATTTTTAATTCTGCTAGCAAATTGCTCGATTTTAATATTTGAGTAAAGTTTTTGGGATGCATAATTCATCCTAAACCAGCTTTTGCAAAAGATGTGAACTTTATTCCTTCACTTTTTTCAATTTGAAACTTGCGTCCCTTCTTTCGTCCTATGAGAATTGATTGATTGATTCCTCAAGTGTACGAATCGTGACAAGAAATAAAATAAATTTTTGAGTCTGAATATCATTCTCACGTAGACTAATACTTACTATCAACTTTTTTCACATTCTAGCTTCGATTTAAATTAACATGTTAACTAATCAAAAAATCAAGATTTTATTTTCTAAGGAAATTATACTAAGCTAATTTAAATTAAACTGACTACCCTAATTTGTGGAGAACTATTGGGATTAAGTGGTTAAGAATTCCGATTTCACTTAGGTTTCAATCTGCTTTTAACTGATTTAACATTGATATTAATACAGTTTTTAACTCTTACAGGTCAAGGTTTTGCCACAGGGAAGATACGCCTAGGAGAAATAGAAGTCATTAAAATCACCAAGTTCTCTGAAATATGGAGCTGTGTGCCGCTGCGAGGAAAGGAGAGAGGTGTCACTTTTTATAAACCTGTGGAAATTCCAGACGGATATTTCTGCCTTGGTCACTATAGTCAACAAAATGATGCACAGTTGAGAGGTTACGTCCTTGTGGCCAAAGACATATCCACCACTAAGCATCGAGGTGATCAAGTACAGGGATCTACTTCAGACTCTCCGGCCCTCATAAAGCCTCTTAGTTACAGCTTAGTATGGAGTGCCAATTCTCGTATTAATGGACAAGGTTATATTTGGCTCCCTAATGCACCAGCAGGTTATAAACCTATGGGTTTTGCTGTTACTATTGAATCTGATGAGCCTGATCTTGAAGAAGTAAGATGTGTTCGAGTTGATCTCACTGAAAGTTGTGAAGCTGGTGAAGTGATATTTGACCTAAGCTCTTTCTTATCGAAGGACGAATTTCAAATTTGGAATACAAGACCGTGCAAAAGGGGAATGTTCTGTAAAGGTGTTCCTGTTGGGACATTCTTCTGCAGTAGAAACAAGAGTTCTAAAGATGAATTGAACATCGCATGTTTGAAGAACCTTGACTCGTCCCTCCATGCAATGCCGAATCTTGATCAAGTCCATGCACTCATTAAGCACTACGGACCTACCCTTTTTTTCCATCCAGATGAAGTTTACTTGCCCTCGTCTGTTTCATGGTTCTTTGAAAACGGAGCACTTCTGTACAAAGAGGGAAGAGATAAAGGAGTAGACATTGACTCTAAAGGCTTAAATTTGCCTGGTGGTGGATGGAATGATGGAAAATTCTGGCTTGATTTACCAGACGAGAATGAAAATAGTGATTATCTCAAGTGTGGTAACATTGAAAGCGCAGAGTTATATGTTCACATAAAACCGGCTTTAGGTGGAAGTTTCACCGACATTGCCATGTGGATCTTTTGCCCATTCAACGGTCCAGCTACACTTAAAGCTGGGATACTGAATTTTTCTTTTAACAGACTAGGTCAGCATGTTGGCGATTGGGAGCATTTTACTCTCCGCTTGAGCAACTTCACCGGAGAACTTTGGAGTGCATATTTTTCAGAACACAGTGGGGGTGAATGGCTGGATGCAAGTGAGTTGGAGTTCATCGAGGGAAATAAGCCGATTGTATATTCATCAAAAAGTGGCCATGCAAGTTTCCCACATCCGGGGTGCTATATTCAGGGCTCTACGAAACTTAGAATAGGAGTGAGGAATGATTGTGCTAAAAGCAAGTATTTCATGGACTCTAGCACCAAGTACCAAATTATTGCGGCTGAGTACCTTGGAGACGGAAATTTTACAGAACCACATTGGTTACAATATATGCGGGAATGGGGTCCAACGATTGTTTACGATTCACGATCTGAACTGGAGAAGATACTCAAACACCTTCCATTTTTCATTAGGTTTTCAGTGGAAAATCTCGTTGAAATTTTCCCGACTGAACTATGTGGTGAGGAGGGGCCAACTGGACCAAAGGAGAAGGACAATTGGGTTGGAGACGAAAGGTGTTAAGCTTTCTTTTGCGCTGGGCTTATAACAACTCTCAGTTCACCATTTTCTACTTCTGTCAAAACATTACACAAGATAGTACACAAGGCATTCTTAGGCTGCTGCTCTTTCTAGGAAAGGATTTGCCTGGACGACCTCAGAATTATTGAGAGATGATACTTTGTTTTTGTTATAGGCAGAAGTGGAGATCAAGTTCATTATGGACTAGTCCTGGGGGTGTAAGAGTATGTGCGTGTGTATATGTTATTTCATTATAGATTGTATCATCATTACTCCAAATTAATATTTGGCACCCTTCTATGTTTGGCTAAGCTTACAAATACCTATAAACAGAGGGCCTCAAAGAGCGTGTAGTTAAAAAGTAGGTAAAACTTATGGAGATTAAGTGATGTGTTGTTAAAAATGATGTTTGATGAATGTATAAGTTTGAAAAATCTTTGCCCAACATGATCTACACAAAAACAAATTGAGACTAATGTCTAAAAAACATCGAAACTTTGATACGAAGTGCTGAGAATGTATTGCAAGCAAAATTTGCTGCATTTCAAAAGAGGTGAATATTGTATATGACATAGGACTATATAAAGTTTTACATTGGTTGTAAGCAATCGTCCTCGTCGGTTTATTATTACATTGTTCACTGAACTTTTCTTTGGGTTAAAACGTCAATTTGTTTTTCCTTGATGATCACCGAACTATTGAAAGTGTTATACATCCATCATTGAAGTGGATTTTGTTGAGGCCAATGAAAATTATACGAGCCATGCCAACACAAACAAATCATGTTTTCACATGGTCATTGAACTTTAAAATAATGTTTCATGGTCACTAAACGTTTAAAAGTGTTAACCCATGAAATAATTAACTCTGAACGTGGAATTCTCTTTCCTTTGTCCTTTGTTGTGATAAACTTAAATATTTTCAAACCTAATCCAGGTGTAGGTACAAATTGGAAGCCTTCTCATTGTGACCTTCTAAACAGACACTATAGTCATGCTACTTGACCAACCTTACACTTTGAATTTAGATTGAGAAGGAACATGCAACTCCAACTTCTTATTGCACCTGCACAACCCCATTTGAATTAATACAAATGATGTCCCATGAGAGAAATTTTAAAGTTCTATGCGATGGAAAGTTTTGTAATCGTTTGGGAACATGGATTGTCTTAGATGGACAAAAAAAATAGTGGTGTTGTCATGTCATGTAGATTTCAATTGACTATATCAGCAACCCCTACAATAGAATCGAAATCCGCTTTAATGATGGATGAGTAGCACTTTTGATAGTTTGGTGATGTGGGGAAATCAATTGACGTTCAATGACATTTCTAACATAAAGAAAATTTCAATGACCAATGGAATAATTAACCGTGCTATGAATGCAATGAATTGATGAAAAAAATTTATACAATAGACCTCAAATTTATCAAGAATGAGGCTTAATTTATAGTTTTTGTCGTTGTTCAAAAGAGGTCAATAGAAACATGTGGCTTCATTAAATCTGAGAAAGTCAGGCATTTTTTGTGAAATCAATTTTATTTAAAAATTACTATATTGTAAATAATTGGATTTGTAACAGGAAAACGTGGTTACTAAATGTGATTAGTATCCCATGTTTTGATGAAAATGCACTTTGTAATAGTATTTTAATGGAGGATATATGATTTAAAAAAAAGGAAAAATTTTAGGTTTATGTGTAATATTATTTTGTTGAAGAATGTATGGTTGAAAATAAGATAAATAATATATTTTGAAAATAAGAGGTACCAAACAAGGGTTAATCTGATTGGAAAAAACATGAAATGTGATTAGAGTTGCAGCTTCACTCTCCTCAATTAGGGATTCTAAATTTTGACCATTTTTCATCTCAGTCATGCTTGGTGTATAGAATTTTTTTCCACCTACTTGACAGATTGTCAAATATTTGACATTCTGTCATTAGATTGTTTAAAAAAAAATAGTTTTTGCACCCCATCATCTATAGCAAACACTGCATCGATCAAGTAGGTGGACAAAAAAGAACCTATGCAAATAGATTTATCCTTTTCATCTTCCCTAATATGATGGGACTTGTTGCTGTTCAACCTGTAGAGTCCATCTCGGATCAAACATAGGTCCACGTTAAAGTTATTAAGGAAGCTCAATAGTTACAAAAGTTAAACATTGAGGTCGGACTACAAGGCTTACCTCGTTAGAACGGCCAAAACATTCATCATCTGGAGACATCAACATAACTAAATTGGGGGAATGTTCCCTTGCGACGTCAACACCATCCTTACAATCAACGAGAGTAAGAAGATGTCACATCTTGACGTGAGCATCACCATGCCCACCAATCAAAGGAAAGCAATGATTATCTAGATGACAGACAATGATGACTTAGGTCACAAATTACGACTTAAATATTATAATAGTCTGCAATTACCGAACTTTCTAACCAATGAAATTTATACAATCAGGAGATAGCACAAATCTCGAGAACGGGCACTGTAGCTTGACAAGACAGAGCTGCAAGCTCCTATCTTAATGCCTGAATAAAAGAGCCAAAGCCTAAGATAAAGAGAGAGCTATACAAATTCTCTGTAATACAATTTTGAAAACGTTTCAGTGAAATAGTTTGCTCTTCTTTACAATATTTCAGAAATAAAACACTGTTACTCTATCGAATTTTTGTAAGTTAATATTTCAAAAGCATGGTTACAAACGTAAATATGCAATATTTCTTAAGAAAAATGAGGACTGTGTTTATAAACGTCTGTTTGGTTCGTTTAAAACGCTTATTAAATTTTAAATTAATGTCAGTAATAAATTTTGATCACACATTTCATGGGACTTAACTTTTCAATCACATATTTTATCAATTATTATCAAAATCTACTAAAAATCTATTTTTTATTCAAATTAAACCAATGCTCATAAACTGTTTGCTAAACCAATAAAAATGGCGTGACTTTGTTGACTTGCGCTAGATCGTTAGTCATGTTATAATTTCCAAGTTTTCCCACCGTTACAAACTTGGTCACATATTGGTTGTACTATTGTATAGTTGTGACTAGTTTAACTTACAATGACTCCATTGCTTAGAAAGAGTTGTCACAATATAAAAGAGAAATAAATAAATGACTATAAAGAACCAATATTCTCTCTTCTTAAGCAACCTATATCCTCGACACTTAATCAGCATTTGATACATTATCCAACTCCGAACAATCTTAGTTATTGGCGGGGTTTCGATTCAGACTTTAAATTCGAAGTTCTATAAAGACCCCATTGTTTGCTCAATGGGTTACCTATTATTAGGAGTATATCTCTATATCCTACAAAACTTAGGGTATTTATTATTAACTATGCTACTTGTACAATGAATTTGACAATAAGTTTGACAATGTGTGAGTTGGCAAACATTATATTCATTGATTTGAAAGA